ACTGTGGAAGTCACAGAGCCCAAGATGGCTGCTCTCTGATCCTTCACCATCCCTGCTCTAGGGCTGAGCAGCCCCTGCAATTCCTGGCCACTGATCCTGCTTCCCCTGGGGCCAGAGGCTCATCCCTGCCTGCAGCCCTGGCTCTCCTCCCTCTCAGGTTCAGAATCCTCTCTCCATCTTCTTCAAAACCTCCATATCCCTTTCTCCCCGCAGACTCTCCTCCTCCTCTCTTAGGGGTGGAGGAGTGATGGAGTAGCATCTTTTCCAACCGGCCACGGTGAGGTTGGGCCATGTTGATGAACAAACGAAGAACGGGTCACCAGCTGTGCACCCAGAATGTTTCCCCTCGTGATATCCTGGCTGGTAGAAGGCTGGGTGCAGAGCTAGGCAGCCCAGCAGCCATGCGCTGAACTTCCCTCACTTCAAATCTACAACGTTAACAACGCAAAACAGAGAAGGTGCTGGGCGCCAGTGGGCTCATGCCTGTAATCCTAGCTACTGAGGAGGCTGAGATCTGAGGACTGAGGTTCAAAGCCAGCCAGGTCAGTGAAATTCATGAGACTCTCAGCTCCGTTTAACTTAAGCTATGGCTTAAGTGGTAGAATGCTAGCCTTGCGCAACAACAAAACTAAACTCAACTAAGGGTCAAGGTTTAGGCTTGAGTTCAAGCCCCAGTACTGGCACACACACACTCACACACACACACACACACATGCACACACCCACACCCACGCACGCATGCATGCACGCACGCACACTGAAACTATTTTTCTCTGTGTTTTTAATTTTTTTTTATTGTGAAAATAACTTACAGAGGGGTTACAATTACATGGGCAAGATAATGAGTACATTTCTTATCAAGCATTGTTGCCTCCTCCTTTGTTTCCCCTTCCCATCCTTCCCAACTCTCCCTCCAAACCCCTACCCACCCCCCTACAAAGTTGTAAAGTTCCTTTTTCGACATAATGACTTGTACATCTCATTGTTGCAATGGATCCACCTGAATGCCTATTTAAACAATTTGTTTTTGCCCTTCCACTCCACAAATTATACCACCATCATATACACTGAAAGCAGCAAAGAAATCATCTTATAAATATGTTAGAAGCAATCACATGAAAGAAAATACGTTTGAGTCCTTATCTTGGGGTTCATTCCCCTAACATCAACTTATCTGACCTTTTCTGCTTATCTCAGACATATACTAGTTGTTGCAAATAAGGGAAACCATGGGACCTATGTTTCTTTGGGCTGGCTGACTTCACTTAATATAATTTTTTCCAAGTCTTTCCATTTCCTAACAAACGGGGCAATGTCATTCTTTCTGATGGAGGCATAGAATTCTATTGTATATATATACCACATTTTCTTGATCCTTTCCTCTACTGAGGGGCATCTGGGTTGGTTCCATATCTTAGCTATGGTAAATAATGCTGCAATAAGCATAGTTGTGCTGGTAGCTGTAGTTTCCTCTCAGTTTTATTGACTTAAAAGCACCTGCAGGAACATGTTTGACAGCTGTGATGCAGAGGGTGTGTCCTACCCCTGGACACTGACGGAGAATCGGAAGAAAACTCATTCTAGAAATCAAGTGGGCACGCTCACTTCCCCTGCGTGATACACAGATTGATGGAGACAGCAATAACGATCAAGGTAGCCAGGAGCAGGAGGGCAGTGAGGAGCAGGTGCGAAGCCATCCAGGCTCTGAGAGCGAGCACCGCCCTGCAGCAGCAGCTGCCCTGCTCCGCCCTCAGCGCCCTCCTCTGTCTGTCCAGGTGCTGCCTCACCCTGTGCAGGTAGCGCCTGCGCTCCTCGGGCAGGACCCCGTCCCCGGCCTGCTGCAGCAAGTGAGCCTGCAGGAAGAGGTCGTTGCTGTGGAAGGAGTCCTGGTGCCAGCCCTCCAGCCCCTGCACCACGGCCATGAGCTCCTGCAGCTGCGTGCGCTGCTCCTCCCCGGACGCCCGGTTGTTGAGGGCGCAGTACCGCCCCCCACACTCCTGCACCAGGCCCCGCAGGTGGACATTGTCTGTGCAGGCCACGTAATCATCCAAGGAGCCAGCCCCCAGGTCTTCCTTGTGGGTGAAGAGGACCACCGTGTGGCTCATGGCCTCTGATCCGAACACCTCCTTCACCCTCCTCGCCGCCTCCACGTCCTGGGCCGTGAAGCGCCCCAGCTGGGTGACCAGCAGCAGCACGTGGGGCCCCGGGGCAGACAGCAGGTAGCACTGCCCGACGTCCTCCACCAGCTCTTGGGTCTGGACCTGTGAGTCAAAGATGGAGGGCGTGTCAACCACAAGGATGCGCCTCCCATTCCACGTCCCGAGCGCTCTCTGGAGGACCTGGTCACTGTCTGGGCCCCCAGCCTGGACTCGAACACTGGCCGGCAGAGGATGCTGTTCCCTGTGGCGCTCTTCCCACTGCCTGTTTTTCCCACCAGGATGATCCTCAAAGAAGGTGCTTCCAATCCACTGTCGTCCACCCTTCCTGCAAAAACAAACAAACGAGCATTAATGCCATGTAAGTGAACGATTCTTCATACTTGTAGATCACTGTATTCTCCTGGGAATCTGCTAAAATGCTATGACTTAATTCCTGGAAGGAAGGAAGAGAGGGAGGAAGGAAAAGAAGGAAGGAAGGAAGGAAGGAAGGGAGGGAGGGAGGGAGGGAGGAAGATGTCTCAGGCACAGGGGTTGAGGAGATGGGGGACAAATGGTTGCTGTCTTTTTCTGCCTGGCTGTAAAATAATGGGTTCTGTCCTTGTGTTTAGGGCGGGGTCCCAGGTAGAGAGGGATCAGAGACGCCTCCTCAGAACTCCAAGGCTTTCTTACCTTCAGCCATTGCTCCATAGCTGCTCTTCGGAAACCCTTCCATTCCCTTCTGGAACATGAACAGAAAAGGAATGAAAGGCATCGTCCGTAGGGAAAGTGCGAGGGCCTGCCTCAATCCAGACAATTCTCCTGACGCAGGCCATTTCTCTTGCTCATTTTCTAACTCACATTTCACTCTCCAAAATCCGTAGACTCGCAGGGACGAGGCCAGGCTGGGTGATGCTATGGCAATGTGCCGCCATTGCTCTTCCTCAGCCCCCCAAAGCTCGAAATGCTCTGCTATGTAAACGCCCCCCCACATAAGCTGAAAACATGAAATGAGGAAAGCCTTCCGTGGTTAAAAATTAGAACCAAAGTAATTAACCTTGCCAGAATAAAGGGGAACAAGTGCCTGGTGGGAAACAATTGGTTTGTTTATCGTCCTAGAGATGTCCAGTTCTGGAACATTCCAGGGGCAGGCATAAGGTGGTCTCCAATGGGAGGGTGGAATTGGGGTCCAGGGACTCCCTTCAAGGACTGGAAAGAATGGAAGAGAAGTCACAATCACCTCCCTACGCTGAGCATTTTGGTGACGAGCTGGTGCATGCTGTAGAGAGAATCAACAGCACAGACAAGGAGAAGATAAACTCATTTCCCATTCTAGTTTTAGTCAAACATCTTTTCTGCTTGCCCCTGCAGTCCTAATCTCCCAATAACTACATTATTTTGTATGCCTACAGATTTTGCCAGCAACTGGTACACACACTGGCATAAGCACTCCATTTCAGTGAGGCATAGCAAAATGTTTAAGAGAGGATAAGTCTTATCAGGAAATATATCATATATTTATACATCTAACTGGATATAATATATTCCATATTTGTATATAATTATATACACTATAGATAATACATTATATATGACAATCTTTGTCATATATAAAGTTTCTTCTGGGAGTACAGAATGTTTTTTAAAAAATGTTTTGCTCAATATGTGACCTGAGGAATGATTGATTTCTTTCCATCTGCATTTTGCCCTGGAAGTAGATCTAGCACACACTTTCTCTCATGGTATAAGAAAATGTGGGGCGATACAGGTTTTATTCCCTAACCAGAATGAGTGTACTCAGGAAAGGCCTCCGGAAACTTCCTCGGCACTTGCTTTGACGCTCAGAATGGCCTCATACACCTGGCCCATGACCGGGGCCTCACACACCTGGCCGCATGACCGGGGCCTCACACACCTGGCCCCATGACCGGGGCCTCACACACCTGGCCACATGGTCTGCAGATTCTTCTCCCTGTCAAAGAGCCCCGGGGTGTCCACCACCCTGATGTCCCTTTCCTTCCATGTTCTGGATGCCGGCTGGCAGGTCTCAGTGACAGCATGGGCAGCGGTTCTAGAATCAAAGATTTGTTCCCCAAGAATGGTGTTGGCTGTGGCACTTTTCCCACTTCCAGTTTTCCCGACCAGAACGATCTGCAAAGAGTGATCCTCAGACTTTGCCATGCTTGCCACCGGAATTCAGCCTCAGGAGCCAGGGCACTTGGACTGTACTTTAAACGTAGAAAGAACGTGGCTTAGACATCACCAGAAACCAGCCCTCCTGGCCCTTCTGTCCTTTGCTTCTTTCCCTTCTGAATCAACCAAATCATCCACCCAGTGAAGTTTTCTCACTTCCATCCCCTGCCCTGTATCTTCCCCAATTTTTCTGCTTTCTACCACATTCTTACTTAATTTTCTATGACAAAAGTACCATTTACCATTTAAAATCTGGTATTTCCTATGCTTTCCTTTTGTGTGAGATCTATTTTCCAGAACAGATTCTACTTTGTTTTTCAGATATCATATCTGACGTATTCTGTCCTAAGCAATGAGCTTCCTATCCCACGAGAGCATCTTCATCAGAATGCCCTGAGAGTCTGGATCTGTGTAGAAGGCTGACACCATTCATTGCAGGACTGTATCCGAGGTGAATGTACACAGCCAGCCCACTACAGGAATGCTCCACGTGGACAGAAGACATCACTTACTGGGAGAAGGAAGCTCTTTAAATTTGTATGTGTGCTGTAGACAGGAGCTTTGTTTTCTCAAGCTATAGACAGAAACGGAACACAAAATGGCTGTCCCCGTTGTGGAAATGCTCTACCATTCAGAAATTATAGAAGAGGGGTGATGGTCTTGGCAATGGGTTCAAAGTAGTTTGGTGGTCACTCATCTCAAAACTCGAGCAGATAACCTTTCACTGGAGAGGCTAAAAGTCAACAGGCGTTGGCATTGTGAACTCTCCACTATCAGGTATATGTGGCTCGCATGAATGCACACTTCAGTGCGGACCCCTGCCGACCTGGGGAGTGACAGAGTGAGGACAGGGCGAGACCACAGAGTGGACGGCGAGCTCTCGTGGTTTCTCACCATTCCTCAGAAAAATCCTATCGAGCTTTAGTGATCAGAGAATTCCGTCATGCTCTACATCCCAGAGCACAGGAAAAAAGAGGAAAACGTCCAAGATCTTTCTATGAGGCAGAGCTAACTCTGAAACCCAGCATTCACAGCACCTGCATCAGACAGGAAAATTAGAGTTGAGTTCAACACCAAATCCTAACGAAATGTTAGGAAAACAGGATTGGACGTGACAAAGTGGGATTTCTTTTAGAAAACTGGACTGAAGGAGAGAGGCTCAAAGAAAATTACAATATAATCCTAGCCACCACGTACAGAGAGACTATTTCAGAAAATATGAGTTAATATATTCTGCAGCTGTGAAATGCATGGAGATGTGTCACTACTCAGGTTCCAACAAGCATCAAATCCTACAAGATTAAGGGCGAGGTAAAGGATAGTAAGAGAAAAGCAAAGGAGGGGGTAACAATCTTTGACAAGAAATGAACTCATCACCTTACTCATGCAACTGAAACCCCTCTGTACAGCATCTTTACAATAAAATTAAAAATTTCAAAAACTAGGAGGTTAATAAAAGAACATAGAGTGGGAGACCGCTCAACCGAAGGGGTGCAAGCACACGTGTGTACACATCCTCATTATATTTATGTTCTATATATAAATATATTACAGATGTAGAAAGTAAAGAAAGAAATGAGTACTGGTCGAGAGTGAAGAAGTAGCATGGCAAAGAAAGAAGGTGGATATCTTTCAACTATTTAGGTAAACAGAATTTTGGAATAATGCAAATATTAAATAAAGTTTTGAAAAAAACAAGTCTATATTGAAAATTAATCCTAAAAATCAAACATTCTGTGAAACAAGTAAACCTAACCATGTTCTTCAATATATTAAGTTCATTGACAACAACCAGAAGAATAGAGCCCAAAAATCCAAAAGAAAAAAGAAATGCCCTAAAACTTTTCATAGTCACAAAACTGATAGCAATACTGGTATCCCTATCATTGAATTATAACATATGTGCTATGTACTGGGAATACAGGCATGGACATTTATGTAGAACACACGCAGGTATGTGTGCACACACACACACACACACACAGTAACAAGATAAGAAACAGAGGCACAAAAGCAGCAGTCCTAGGCTTCCCTACCACGCCCCTCTGAAAGGAAAACCCGCAAGGATTTCTAGGGAAATGCCTAACTTGACATTTGGGGCAGACAATGCAGAGAATAATGTGGGATTGCCTTGCTGGACTCATTACAAATGAATAATAAAAATTGTAAATGCCTTGTGAACACAGATTGCAGGACATTT